TCTTATTTACTGGCCTTGGGGTATTCTGCACTAACCTGTCAGCCAATCAACACATTTTAGGAAGCTATTTTTTTAATTCATAGAAGAAAACATAGAGGACATGCTTTATGACATTGCATTTGGTAATGATTTCTTGGCTATGACACTAGAAGCTAGGGCAGAAAGAACAAGATCAATTGGACCACATCAAAGTGTAAAATTGTCATGCCTCACCTCAAAGGACAAAGCCAATAGAGTGAACAGTAGCCCATAGAATGGGAGACAATAACTGATAATGGGTTAGTATCCAGAATACATAAAGAAATCATAGAGGGGCCAGTGCTATGGCATAGTGGATAAAGCTACTGTCTGCTGTGCCAGCATCCCAAATGGGTGCTGATTCAAGTCCTGACTGCTCCACTTTTGAACCAGCTCTCTGCTATGATCTGGGAAAGCAGTAGAAGATGGCCCAAGTCCTTGGGTCCCTGAACCCATATGGGAGACCCGGAAGAAGCTCCAGACTCCTGACTTTGAATCAGCCCAGTTCTGGCCATTGTGGCCATCTGGGGAATGAACCAGTGAATGGAAGACCTCTCTCCCTCCCTCCCTCTCTCTCCCTCTGCCTCTCTGTTAACTCTGCCTTTCAAATAAAAATAAATATTAAAAAAATAAATCATACAACCCAACAATCCAGAATCCATAAGAAATCCTACAACTCAACATCGACCAAGTCATCTGATTTAAAATGGGCAGAGGACTTGAACATTCTTCAAAGAAGACACACAAATGGCCAAGGAGCACACGAAAAGATGTTCAACAGCACTAATCCCTAAGGAATGCAAATCAAAACCACAATGACATACTCCCTCATCCCGACTAAGAGAGCTAGGATCAAGGAAAACAGAAAATAACAGGGGGCCGGCACTGTGGTGCAGTAGGTTAGTCCTCCGCCTTTGGTGCCAACATCCCATGTTGGTGTCGGTTCGAGTCTCGGCTGCTCCACTTCCAATCTATCTCTCTGCTATGGCCTGGGAAAGCAGTAGAAGATGGCCTAAGCCCTTGGGCCCTTGTACCCACACAGGAGACCTGGAGGAAGCTCCTGGCTTCAAAGCAGTGCAGCTCCAGCCGCTGTGGCCATTTGGGGAGTGAACCAGCAGATGGAAGACCTCTCTCTCTCTCTCCCCCTCTATCTCCCTCCCTCCCTCCCTCCGTCAGTAACTATCTCTCAAATAAAATAATAAACAAACCTTTAAAAAATACATGATAAAAAGAGGAAAATAACAAGTGTTGGAGAGGAAAAGTTGGAAGCCTTGTGCATTGTTGGTGGGAATGTAAAGTAATGTAGTCTCTATGGAAAACAGTATGGTGGTTCCTCTATCAAAAATAACCACATGATCTAGCAATTCCACTTGTGGGTATGTAACCGAAAGAACCGAGAGCAGGGTCAGCCTGGAGGAGACAGGTGTACACCCACGTTCAGAGCAGCACGATTCACTCCCAGCAGCCAAGGGTGGAAGGAACCCAAGTGCCCACTGACAAACGATGCACAAACAAAACAAGGTGTACACATATGCAGTGGAGTATTGCAGTCTTTTTTTTTTTTTTTTACAGGCAGAGTGGACAGTGAGAGAGAGAGAGAGAGAGAAAGGTCTTCCTTTTTGCTGTTGGTTCACCCTCCAATGGCCGCCGTGGCTGGCGCATTGCGCTGATCCAAAGCCAGGAGCCAGGTGCTTTTCCTGGTCTCCCATGCGGGTGCAGGGCCCAAGTACTTGGGCCATCCTCCACTGTACTCCCGGGCCACAGCAGAGAGCTGGCCTGGAAGAGGGGCAACCGGGACAGAATCCGGCGCCCCAACCGGGACTAGAACCCGGTGTGCCGGCGCCGCAAGGCGGAGAATTAGCCTACTGAGCCACGGCGCTGGCCGTATTGCAGTCTTAAAAAGGAAATTCCAACATGTGCCTCAGCATGGAATGAGCCTTAAGAACATTATGCTAAGTGAAAGAAACCAGTCACGTAAACGACAAATAACCCTATGACTCACATGATAGTCCTGGAGTAGTGATACACAGACAGACTAGAGGGTGAGTGTGGGGCTTGGAGGGGGCATAGATGGATGGGGAGTCATTGTTTGGTGGGTGCAGAGCTTCTATTCTGCAGGACGAGGTTCTGGAGATGGAGGATGACATTGGCTGAACAATATGAATGTGCTTAATGCCCCTGAACCGTACACTGAAAAATGTCCCCATAGTAAATGTTATTTGTGTGCATTTAACTGGTACCATTGTTGGCAAATGAATTTTTAAAAGTTATTTTAATTATGTAACCAGCATTTTTAGTTGCCTTTATTCAAAAGGTCAGTCAGGGTCCCCAGTCCATGGAAGCCAGAGAATGCTGTCCATGCCTGTTTACAGTGGGGCTTAGGGGCCGGTGCTGCGGCATAGCAGGTTAAGCTATCACCTGCAACACTGGCATCCCGTATTGGTGCAGGTTCATGTCCTCGCTACTCCACTCCCCATCCAGCTCCCTAATGTGCCTGGGAAAGCAGTGGAAGATGGCCCAAGTCCTTGGGCTCCTGCACCAACATGGGAGACCTGGATGAAGCTCCTGGCTCCTGGCTTTGGCCTGGCCCAGCTCTGCTGTTGCAGCCATTTGGGGAGTGAACCAGCAGAAGGACGAGCTCACTCTCTTTCAAATAAATAAATCTTAAAAAAAAATTAAAAAGTGGACCTTAATGCTTCCTTCCGCACCACCTGCCTGCAAGTCTTCAGGCTACTGGGGATTTCTATCAGGGTGCCTGTGCTCCTTGCCCACAGCAGTGCTGGCACGCGGGCAGTGACCCCACACCCCTCTGGCAAGGAGCCTGCCTAGCACAGACCAGTACTGCCAGAGGCACCGACGTGCCATCCCCCCACCGCCCCGTCAGGGCAGCTGGAGCAACCCACCCACGCTCAGACAGGCGTCTCATTAGAGGCCGCAGCCCCAGCACTGTGCTTAGGTTGCTAGCGCCTCTCCGCCCCAGCTGGGAGTAACGAGCAGTTCTGTGTCTGACCAACATGTCCTTGCCTTTAAAAACCCCAAGTCCTTCAAACCCCACAAAGCCTCTCTCTAGCTTCAAATCGGAAGCAGGGAATCCTCCGCTTGTGGCTGTTCTGTCGCTAGGAAGGGGTCTCCGTGACCTGGCGATACGCCGTCTTCAATACCTTCTCCTGCAGTGCCTTGGGGGCTTCAGTGCCGTGGGTATCATCCATTACACAGGACATGACCTGGCCATTAACCCCTCCACTCGGGAGCCTGCGGGAACGTGGGGGCTCCACACACTCACGTGTCGCCCTCAGCCCAGTCCCTTCAACAGGAGAGGTTCCTAGCTGCTGTATCAGCATCGCCCACTTTTTTTATTTGACAGTTACAGAGAGAAAGGTCTAGAAAGGTCTTCCTCCTGTCGATTTACCCCCCAAATGACTGCTATGGCCGGAGCTGCGCCGATCCGAAGCCAGGAGCCAGGAGCCTCCTCCTGGTCTTCCAAGAGAGTACAGGGTCCAAGCACCTGGGCCATCCTCCACTGCCCTCCCAGGCCACAGCAGAGAGTTGGACTGGAAGAGGAGCAGCTGGGACTAGAACCGGCGCCCATATGGGATGCCAGCGCCGCAGGCGGAGGATTAACCAAGTGAGCCACGGCGCCAGCCCCAACATCGCCCACTTCTAAGCAGACCTCTGAATCCTAACATTTGTGACTATGCACAACCAGTTTATTCTAAGTTTAATTACAAGACAGGCACAGCTACACCACTCTACTGAGCAGAACCTAAGCACAGAGGCTTACTTTGATTATTTGATTATTCGAACATCAACGTCTGTCTCATCTGCTTGGACTGCCAACCCAAAATCCCACCATGGAGGACTGAAATTCCTTTAAAACAATAGTTACTTATTTATACATTTGAAAAGCAGAGTGGCATAGACAGAGGGAGAGAGATCTTTCATCTACTGGTTCACTCCTCCAAAGGGCCCCAATATCTAGGTCTGGGCCAGGCTGAAGCTGGGAGCCAGGAGCTCCATTCCAGTCTCTCATGTGGGTGCAGGGGCCCAAGCACTTAGTCCATTCTGCACTGCCTTCTCAGGTGCATTAAGCAGGGAACTGGATCAGAAGCAGAGTAGCCAGGACCATACCACTCTGATATGGGATGCCAGCATTGCAAATGATGGCTTAACCTGCTGTGCCACAATGCTGCTGGCTTCCAGAAATTTCTCTTAATTCTAGGGGCTGGAAGTCTAGGATCAAGGTTCCAGCAGAGCTGGTTTTTTCTGGCCTCTCTCCTTGATCTGTGGATGGCCACCCTCCCCTGTGTCTGTACGTGGTCTTCATTCTGTGCATCTGTATCCAGATATCAGTCATGCTGGGTTAGGGTTTACCCAGTGACTTCATTTTAATTTAATTATCGCTAAATATTCTGTCTCCAAATACAGTCACATTCTGAGGTACTAGGTGTTAGAACTTCAACATAACTAATTATCTTCAGGGCCGATGCAGTGGTTTAGTAGGTTAGGCTTCTGCCTACGGTGCCAGCATCCCCTATGGGCACCAGCTCACATCCCAGCTGCTCCACTTCCGATCCAGCTCTCTGCTAATGGCCTGGGAAAGCAGACCAGCCCAGCTCCGGCCGTTGTGGCCATCTGGGGAATGAACCAGCAGGTGGAGGGCCTTTCTCTGCCTCTTCCTCTAACTCCGCCACTCAGATAATCTTTTTTAAAAAAAAATTATCTTTGAGGGGTAGGCACAATTCAATCCATAATATCATCCAAAATAATACTGTCATATAATTGATCTCATCCAAAAGCCTGGTGTTTCCCACATAATTCTTCAATGCCTCTTTTAGATGGAAATTATTGTCATGCTGCCTTTTCCTGGAGTGATTAGGAAGACATCTTGGAGGACAAAACGTTGGTTAGCGGTTGACTTGTAAGCCACATATTAGTGTGCTTGTCACCATTCTGTAAGCATTTTTTTAACCCTCCGTCCTCAGGCTTTGCTTCTGGAATTGAAGGGCCACGCCGTCTGCCCTTTTACTGCCTTGAAGATCATCGATTGCAAGATGGACCCCTGGTCCCTCAGGCGGCTGGGGAAGGCTCTGCAGCTCTGCAGCTTGCGTTCTCTCGTCCTCGATTACTGCAAGTAAGGCTGGAACAGAGTCCCCTGGGGCTCTGCCGCTGCTGGGCTGGGGCAGGCCAGAGCCAGGGGGAGCCCTGTGTGCCTCATGTCAAGGCCTGGCTAACAGACGAACCTCTAACCCCTCCTTAGAGTTCATGTTCCTAAGCAAATGGTAGGTTGGCAGAGCTTTCTCCATTTGTCCACTCAACAAACCCTTGCTACAGGCCAGTTCATGCAGGATGCCATGTGCATGCCTATGCTCATTGCTAAGGAAGATACAAAGATATATGGAACCATGCTGCATAGCACAAGGGAGAGGGTCTGAATATCACAGAGGTCCACACATCTGTGATGGTTTGGGTAAGGGAAACCGCCCTTCCCTGGGTGATGGGTCAGTGCTCACCAGGAGGGGAGCTGGGGAGGCAGGAGGGGTACTTGGGAGGAGCAAGGCAGGTCCTTTAGAGGGCTTGGGGTGCCCCGAGTATCAGGAGAAGGTCAGTGGATAAGCGTTACCATCATGGATACCAGCTAACAGTTAACGAGTGCTCACTGTGCGCCGAGCTTGCTGCCTGGGCTATCTCGTTTGCCTTCCCAACCCTCTAGGAGATGTATACATTTCTATTCCTAGACTGTAGATGAGTTATCAACTTGTCAAGGCCACCGTAGTGGTGCAGCAGGTAAAGCTGCCACCTGACACCTGCTTCCCATATGGGCATCGGTTCATGTTCTGGCTGCTGTACTTCGATCCAGCTCTCTGCTAATGACCTGGGAAAAACAATGCAAGAGTCCCAAGAATTTGGGCCCCTGCTACCCATGTGGGAGGCCCAGATGCAGCTCCTGGCTCCTGCCTGGCCCAGTAAGCCCTGGCCATTGTGGCCATCTGGGGAGTAAACCAGAGGATGGAAAATCTCTCTCCACCTCTCCCTTTCTAACTCTGACCTTTAAATACATAAATAAATCTTAGAGATCAAGTCATTCAAGGTCACTTGGCTCTTATTCACAGAGTCCAGATTGTGAGTCCAGATTGTCTGAATCAGAGCTTAAATCTTACCCACGACATTAGATTGCATGGGGTCTAAATTGGCCATCTACAAGTTATTCCAACTGCTTGTATGAGAAGTGGAAACTTCGGATCTATACTGAGATCTCCTCCGCTTCAGAAGTTGTGATCCGTGACTTCCTGTGCAGTCACACGGGCACTGATACACAAAAGGCCAACAGGCTGAGAGGCGAGAGAAATGATTCCCACCTGAGAAGCTGTGACTCCGAGCCACAGAGGCCCCTGAAGAACCAGGCTCCTCAGGGTCCTGCCAGTAACAGCAGGGAGTCCATCAGCAAAGCGGTGGGGGGGGGGGGGGGCTCACTCTTTTAAAAAAATTTGAAAGAGAGAGGGGGAGACAGACACAGCAATCCCCATCACTGGTTCACTCTCCAAATGCCTGCAACAGACAGGGTTGGGTCAGACCAAAACCAAGAGCCAAGAACTCAATCCAGGCCCCCCAAGTGGGTGGCAGGGACCCAACTACTGAAGCCATAATCTACCACCTCCCAGAGCAAGCATCAACAGGAAACTAGGATAGGGATCAGGGCTAGGACCTGAACTCAGGCGCTCCGATATGGGATGCAGACCTCCCAAGCAACATTTTAGCTACTGGGCCAAACGCCCACCCCAAATGGGGAGGGGGCTCTCTGTGGAGGTGCTCCAGGTTTCTGAAATGCTGCCGAAGGGGAGCGTTAGGCAGCGTGTCCTCACAGAAGGCCAGAGTCCTCAGAACACCAAGCAGTGACTACAAGAGCTGCTTGGAGCCGCCAGCTGCCTGCGTGTACTGGGAAGAAGCATCCCTGCTGCCGAGCCCCCTCCATAGCCCAGTTCCTGGGAGGGACACCTAGAGACCTGCCTGGTGGGAAGAGACAAAGGGAGGATTCCCACCCTCGGGAAGGAGCCTGCTGTAACATCAGTTGCATCTCTGACAAGGTTGTCAGGCTGGTAGCTGGGAACCCCACCAGAGCCCTCAATGCCAGTACGGGGGTAGGCATCTGCATACTGCATTCTCTCCCTGCTGCCTTCCCTACTAATCTGGGAGGCAGTAGGCCCACGTACATAACTGACACGTAGTAGGCCCTCAATAGTTCTTTGTTAATGAGCTAAATTTTACAAGGTATTTCTGCTGATGCTACCCAGCTCATCTTCAAGCTCAAGCCTTGACAATCCAAATTCCTTGAAGATGTTGGTTTCACTCATGGAACCCGAGTTTCCTGACCCAGGAGGTTATACCACCCAAGGCAGCCTGCGACTCACTTTGCAAACTAAAGACTGTGTGACACAGGGAAGGGAGTGGCATGGGGCCACGAAGGGGCCAGGAGAGCTTGAACTTTCCTGAACCTGCTCTGCTTCCAACAGGCCCCTCCTTGTCAGAGCTGGTGCCTCTGGCATCCTCCCAGAGTGCTACTGGCCCTGCAAGCTGGGCCCCCCAGCCCGTCTCTGCAGCAGCTGTCTGCCTCCACCTGCTCCCTTGAACGGGTGCTTCAAAACGCCCTCTGCTCCCTCCACCCAGGAGGCGGTCTTTGGGTCCCCTTCCCTCTGCACCCCACCTTGCCTACCATGGCTCCCTGAGCCCACCCAGGCCCTGGAAATCCAAATGGGGGATCAGCAGGGTTGCCTCCAACCACCCTGGGGAGGGCTTTAAAATGAGCCACTCGGTGAGTGGCACAGGTTTTGAAAGTCACTGATGTGTTCCTGTCATTTCTTAGGTTCGGAAAGGAAGAAATGGAGAGTGTTTTCTCAGGCCTGGAGAACCACCAAAGCCTAAAAGGGCTCAGTCTGCGATACTGTGGTCTGGGGCCAGAGAGCGGACAGAGGCTGGGCTCTGTGGTCAGCCGAAGTGCCATCAGGTGCGTGCCCTGCCCCCCACCCTGCTCCCCAGCTCAGCTTGGCACTGTCCTCAGTTAAATTATTTATTTTATTTGAGACACACACATGGCAGGGGGTGGTAGTGAGAGAAACAGATAACTCCCATCTGCTGGTTCATTCCCCAAATGCCTGGAACAGTTAGGGCTGGGCCAGATTGATACCAGGAGCCAGCAACTTAACCCAGGCCTCCCATGTGAGCAGCAGAACTCAATTCCTTGGGCCATCAACTGCTGCCTCCCAGCGTGTGCCTTAGCAGGAAGCTGGAAACGGAAGCAGAGCCTGAACTCGCCCATAGCAGAGTGCCTCAAACCAAGGCTGCCAAGCCGCTCTGCCAGACACCCGCCCCTCCACTATGATTTGAGTCCTCTTTCTCTCCCCTCTAGTTATTTTTGTTGCTGTAGGAGAAAGATTCTTATAGAATCAAGGGCAGCATGCTTGAATGAGGTGTTTGGTCAGCTGACTTGATCAGTAAGTCAAATTTTCTGACATAAGGTATCATTATGATTGTTTGCTGGTCCATTACTTTATGGCTAGATATATTATTTCATCAGCTGAAGAATTCAAATCTAGATTTCAGGAAGTGGAACCAACATCAAATGAACCTTTCTCCCTTCCCGCAGAGAGCTGTACCTTGATGGAAATCATTTGCAATGTTCCGGAGCCCTGGCTCTCCTCAGACCCCTGGCAGATTTTGCAGAGATGCAGGGGACAGACCAGCCAGCCCCAGGCTCACCCGACACCAGAGGCCCCCCTCAGCTGCTCCAAGGTCAGTGCCAGGGCTCTAGGCACTAACTTCCTGATGGGGAAGCTCTGCCGGGAGGGGCCCTCTCGGTGCATGGAGATTCTTCTTCCCGAGTACGCGTGGGAGACAGAGTAAGAGCCCCAGCGATATCTTTGTCCTAATCCTCAGAGCCTGTGAATATGATCTCAAGTGGCAAAAGGGACTTGACCGAGGGGATTGGGTTAAGGATCTTGAGTCAGGGAAGTTATCCTGGACTATGCAAGTGGTCCAGCATCATCTCAGAGGGAGGCAGATGGTCAGAGAGGAGACCAGGCGAGCAGAGGTGGGAACGATGTCAGGAAGGGGCCTCCAGAAGCCGGCCAAGGCGAGGAACGAATTTCCCCGGTGCCGCCAAAGGCAGGCAGCTCTGCAGACTCCTTGACTCCTGCCTGTGAGACCCATTTCAGACCGATTTCCTTAACTGTAAGAATGACAACCTCGGATTGCTCTAAGCAACTCAGCGTGTGGCCAGTTATCACCCAGGCAGCCAGTGCAGCACGTTAATCAGTCTGCGTAACAGTGAAGGCAACCCTAGCAGGGTTAGAGAACATGGATGGACTAGCACCTAAGACCTCCATGAGTACAACTGTCTCCAGAGATGGCTGGCTGGAGTCAGGGCCCCCGCTGTGTCAAACAGCCTCTGAGTTTGCTGCCCTTGACTCTTTCCATTCCAAGGGGTGACTTTTCTGAGTACAGCCAAGGTTTCTCCAAGGAGCAAAGGCAGCTGATGGGTCTGCCAGAAGTCTCAGGACTGTATTATGACCTGTGAGCCTCTTTCTTCTAAATACTGTGTCAAATCCCATAGGAAGGTTCTATCTAACTGGCCCTCTTTGGATCACATTCTTAGCTCCTGGACCAGTGTCTAGGGCCCAGATCATGGTGAGCCATGATTGGCCGGGATTGTCACACACAATGGAGCACTGTGACAGGCAGCTCTACCAGCATTGCCAATTCACAGTGGGGGTGTGGCAGTCCCCCAGAGAACAGGCCAGTCAGGACAGACACAAGACAGATGAAAACGATGGTGCTTACTTTCCCATAATTCACTTGTTTTCATAGATTCCAAGTATGCATATTCACAACACTTTTTAAAGCTGATATGTTTAATAATTACTAATTGTAAGGAGTGAATAGTACAGACTTAGAGATGGACCCCAAATCCTATTCCAGCTGTGCATGACTTTGGGCAAATTATGAAATAAATCTAACCTCAGCATCCACTGCAAAATCAACAGAATAAAAATACCCCTTAGCATTTAATGAAGACAGGAAGTGAAGTACTTACTATGGCACCTCACACAGGGTAAGGACTTGAGGGATATTAATTACCACAACCCCATCATTATCATCATAGAAGCAACACCCCTTCCCTAGAGAGTAGAATCCTGAAGCACACTGGTAAACCATCACTCCACTTGCCGGAAAAAGTGAAGAGAAAGGGCTGAAATAAAACCTACTTTGTAGAAATGAATGCAAAGAACATGTGTCCAGCAGAGATTTGTACGTGCAATGGTTATCACTTATTGAGGGAGATTTGTGTAGGTCATTTCTTGAATTTGACAATTCAGTCAACCCAATAAGTATACAAAAGAAAGCTGGAAATCAATGTTTTCTATCAAATATACTTTCCCTGTGCCATTTTTACCAACATTCCTATAAATAGTGATGGTCCTAGGGTGACCATTTAATCTAGCAATGAAGACACCTGTGTCCCCTATCAGAGTACCTGGGTTCAATACCCAGCTTCGCTCCCAATTCCAGCTTCCTGCTAATGCAGACCCTGGAAGGCAGTGGTGATGGTTCAAGTAGCTGGGTCTCTGACACCCACGCAGGAGACCTAGATTGGGTTCCCAGCTCCTGGCTTTGGTGCAGCCTAGTCCTGGCTGTTGCAGACATTTGGGGAGAGAAAAGCATTTGGGAGCTTTTGCTTTTTCTCTTTCTCTCCCCTCCCAATCCCAAATAGCTAACTAAATAGAAATTTTTAAAAGCTGTGGTACTATTTATGAAATCCTATACTGAAGCTTTGGGATCTAAATAATCAGTGGGTCTGTGATTTTTTTTTTAAGAACTGGAAATGTGAATGCACCACCTCAAGCAATTGATGTGTGCCAGGCAGGGTCAGGTCTGAGGGGGTGGAACTGGAAAGGTGACAGAAGTGACAAAGATGACAGGAAGAAACTTGGAGATCCCCCAGTGCAGTTATCCTAAGTGTTTCTGCAGAAAGGAGCCTTCAACCTTAAGAGTTCAGGATTTGGGACCGGCGTTGTGGCGTGGCAGGTAAAGCCACCACCTGTGATGCCAGCATCCCACATGGGTGCAGGTTCGGGTCTTGGTTGCTCCAGTTCCAATCCAGCTCCCTGCTAAAAGGAAGCCTTGGTAAAGTAGAAGATGGCCCAAGTGCTTGGGCCCCTGCCATCCATGTGGGAGACCCAGATGAAGCTTCTGGCTCCTGGCTTAGGCTTGGCCCAGTCCCAGCTGTTGCTGCCATCTGGGGAGTGAACCACAGATGAAAGCTCTCTCTCTCTGCCTCTCCTGACTTTCAAGCACATAAATTAATCTTAAAAATAGAGATTGAGAGAGTGTGTTCAGGATTTGTTTTCCCAGAAAGCCAAAGAGGCAGGGCTGGAGCTGCCTACAGGGAGTGCCGTCCCTTCACTGGGTGGGAACTGCTCCGACTGGGCCAGGCCCTGACATCAGCGGTCAACAGGCAGGACCTCTTTAAAGTTCCTCCCATCAGTTAGGATCTCAGCAAAACAACAACAAAACCACAACAAGTTCAAGTGCATGTCTAGCTTCTTCTCGTGCAGCTGACAGTCTCTGAGGTCCACATTCACTGGAAACTTGGTGCTTATCCAGCTCAACTAGCACATCTGAGTCACTCTGCGTTCTTTTGGGTAACTATTAGTAACTCCCAGCCACCCCCGAATGCCACAGCCGGGGAGGCTTGAACAACGGAAATGTATTCTCTCACGGTTCTGGAGGCTCAGGGTCTCAAATCAGTTCTGTGGCCGGTTCGGGCTCTCTTCCTGGTTTGCAAACAGCCACCTTCTCACTGTAGCCTCCCCTGAGCACACAAAGGCACGGAGAGACAGGCAGTCTATAGCCACTGCTACCTCTTCTCAGAAAGACACCGCCTCCTATCAGATTGGGCCCCACCTTTGTGACCCCACGTAACTATTTCCTTAGTGAGCCACACTGGGGGTTAGGGCTTGAATGTATGAAGGCAGAGGGGACACAAACTTCAGTCCATAGCTGTAATGTGCTCACCAGTGCAGACTGAAAACACCTTCGCCTTCAGAGTCGGACTGATAGACTCTGCTCCAGCACACTAGTTTTCACACCTTGATTTAACCTTCTTTTTGCCATCACAGTTAGCCTTCAATGATAACTGGAAGAAAAGAGCCATGCAAGGCAAGAAAATGGAATTATGCTACACTACTAATGCCTCCTCTGTTTCCATTTTAAGTTCAAGGATTTATTTACTTTATTTGAAAGAGTTATAGAGAGGGAGAACGAGAGGGAGAGAGATCTTTCATCTGCTGGTTCACTCCCCAAATGGCCACAACAGCCAGCACTGGGCCAGGCTGAAGCCAGGTGCTTCTTCTGGGTCTCCCACGTGGCTACAGGGGCTCAAGCACTTGGGCCATCCTCTACTGCTTTCCCAGGCACATTAGCAGGGAGCTGGATGGGAAGTGGAGCAGCCAGATCTCAAACTGGTGCCTATACGGGATGCCAACATTGTAAGGAGCAATAATCCGCAATGCCACAGTGCCAGCCCCTCCTTTTTAGTTTTTTTATTTGAAAAGCAGAGACAGAGGGTGTCTGTTTGATGGTTCGCTTCCCAAATATCTGCAATAGGCAGTGATATGCCAGCCTGATGTCAAAAGCTTGGAATTCAATCTGAGTCTCAGACTCAAGTGCTCGAGCCATCACCACTGCCTCCCAGGGTCTGCATTAGCAGGAAGCTGGAATGGAAGCTGGAGCCGGGTATAAAAATCTGGGTACTTGGATATGAAACACAGGCATCTTAACCCTCTTGGCCAAATACCTGCCCTCTCTTTCTCCTTTTTAACCACAAGATACTTTGTACCAATTGCCTGAGTAACAAATCCTAATTTCCTGTATTACTTAGACCTCTCCAAGCATCCAGGTGTTGGCTAAGGGAAAGCAATTGTACTGATCTTCTCCAACCATCTAGTGGTGTTTAGGGTCTCGCATTCACCCCAACTTCCCTTACTAACTAGCACCCCGATTTTGCTTTGAAGGAACTACCCTTTCCCTGCGGGCTGCAGCCTAGTGAAGGGGTCAGTTAAGGCATCTGCCCTCTCCTGGCCAGGACCCACATACAGGACCTACATTCTGCCAACTGGACTTTGCCACCCTAAAAAATGTGCCTCGAGCAGTGTCCTTTGCCTCATCCAGCCAGACCTGGGAGCTGTCATGGCTCCTGTCCTTTAATAACCCTGGCCTTGGAACCAGGGTACATGAAAACTTTCCATGGAATGTGCTGGGCAGGGTGTGGATGCTTTTAAACAGAGGTCTAGATTCACAGCTTCCCCAGGGAATATGTGCCTGAGACTTAAAGTCCTTGATCACACCCATCCTCCTCCTACTTTGCAAGAGACAGGCAGCCTCTCTCCCACTCAGTGTGCCAGCAGAGTCTTCCCCTGGAGTATGAAAGGAAGAGATGTTTCCAAATGTTAATGTAAATGTTAACCAAATAAATGACTAATAATTCAATGACAGATCATTCTTACATATCAGTGATTTCCGGTTTTTGCTTTTACCAAAATTGAAGAAGCAAGTCATGGTATTGGCTGAAAGTCCATTAAAAACTTTGTTGATTGATCAGTATATGATTTTTAACATACAACTCAGCAGTTCAGAGAATGAAATAATACCACGGTATTATTATTAATCTCCTAGGATTTCCCAGTTAAATTAGAATTTTAGATGAAAAATACTTTATTATGTGACATGCACTGTTTGGGATACACATATACTAAGATAACTGTTCCTTGTTTATCTGGCATTTGAATGGAACTGAATGTCCTGTACTGCAAAGAGGGGGGATGGGGGAAGAGGCTAAATCTAGCAGCCCTATTCCATCCCCATCGTGGTAAACAAGTTTCCTCAGCACTAGAAACCACAACAATGAAAAACAGAAACAGAATTCATACTCAACTATCTCATCCTAGCAGTAATATCCCTCAGTTAATATGTGAATTGTAGGAACAACTAAAAGGTCATCCATCTCCTTGAGAAATGCATTCAATAAAATTTTTGTATTTTGACGTTTCAAAGTGTTTAAAATACATATGTTGTATTTATCACTACATGCTACTATAGTACTAATGATTTGGGGACTATCTTAAAATGTATTTTATGTGAGTGAAGTTGAACATCTTTTCATTTGATTTTGTTTATAGCGCTTGTCTATTTTCCTCTTGGCCTATGGTCTTCTTACTTTTCATTTGTTAAACTCTTTATTTAGCAGAACCACTAAGCCTTTGACTATAATGTCAATTAAAAATGTTATCTCATGTCAGTGCTATGGTGTGGCAGGTTAAAGCCCCAGTTCAGTGCCAGTATCTCATATGGGTGCTAGTTAGAGTCCCTGCTGCTCCACTTCTGATCCAGCTCCCTGCTAATGGGCCTGGGAAAGTAGCAGAAGATGGTCCAAGTGCTTGGGCCTCTGCACCCACGTGGCAGACCTGGGAGAAGCTCTTGGCTTCAGCCTGGCCCAGCCCTGGCTGTTGTGACCATTTGGGGAGTGAACCAGCAAATGAAATTCCTCTTTCTCTGTCTCTACCTCTAACTCTGCCTTTCAAATAAATAAAAAATAAATCTTTTTAAAAATATGTTATCTTGGCCAGTGCCACAGCTCACTAGGCTAATCCTCCACCTGCAGCACCGGCACCCCAGGTTCTAGTCCTGGTTGGGGCGCCGGATTCTGTCCCGGTTGCTCCTCTTCCAGTCCAGCTCTCTGCTGTGGCCCAGGAGTGCAATGGAGGATGGCCCAAGTCCTTGGGCCCTGCACCCGCATGGGAGACCAGGAGGAAGCACCTGGCTCCTGGCTTCGGATCGGTGCCATGCCAGCTGTGGTGACCATTTGAGGGGATGAACCAACAGAAGGAAGACATTTCTCTGTCTCTCTCACTGTCTATAACTCTACCTGTCAAATTAAAAATAAATAAATCTTTAAAATATAGAATTAAAAAGGAAGGAAAGTCCAATATGGGAAGCAATTCACACAGCAGACTCCTAAAATGATATTCGCTGTAAATAACACTCTGACCTCAGAATCAACCCTTAAGGCTTGCTGGTCTGGCTGAAAGGCCTGCAAGAGCATTTCAGACATGGAAAGCCAACACTCTATGGCAAAAAAAATACCCTACATGGAGGATCTCTTTGAGACCTCAGTGGAAAGAAAGGATCATGAAAGATATACTCTTCTCTGAAGGGAGGAGAGAACATCCACTTTGCTTATGGCCGTGTCCAAATACCAATGGAGTCTATGGTCACAAAAGGCTTCCATAGCCTTGGCAGCCCATGGCAAGAGCCTTGGGTGATCACTGACATCACAAATAAGAGTGTTAATTGTTAAAGAAACAACAGAAGTCACTGTGCACTTGCTCTCCATGTAGGACCTCCATCCCTAATGAATTGTACTATGAGAATCGACTGCAAATTTTATTTCCAAATTGTGCTCTATGTTTTGTGTGTGCGTGAGTGCAAACTGTTGAAATCTATGTTAAACATGGTGTTGGTCCTCTGTATATAGAATTAAACTAAAATTGAACCATAATGAAGAAGGAGATGGCAGGGGGAGAAGGAGATGGGATGGGAGTTGGAGAGGGGTTATAGGGGAAAGAACCATTATATTCCTAAAGTTGTATCTATGAAAAAAATGCATTCATTAAGTAAGAACTTTTTAAAAGTGCCCCGAAGTGTTCCTCCCTGCTCTATTCATGCTAACTCCAGGGGCTACAGAGAGCTGCTGTGGCACGGGAAGAGAAAGGAACCCAAGACTTGGCAGGGCCATTCTTGGGCTCTACTTGGTTGCACGCTCACCTCAAGCCTTTGAGGAGACAAACACTAAAAAGACATGCCTGCGCTGAAGGAATGTGACCTTACAACAGGTCAGACAACCTCCTTGGGAGAAACTCCTCTCCCAAAGTTTTGGTAAAATGAAGGCACTAACAGCAAAGTGTTGCCACAATGCACTCATTCCACTTTGAACAGGCTGCTTTTTAAGCTTGTTTCTTTTTTCCTAACCAGACAACCAGAGTGGAAGTTCCACTTCAAACCAGATTACAAAATCCTCTGAAGCTGTCACAGTGAAAACTACTTTGGAGAAGAAAAAAAGAAAAAAAGGTATTTTTCTTGTTGTCATTTGAACTACTGTCTCCATGTCCTTCATCTCCTAAGTCATTTCCTCCTGCAGGGTCTGTGGGTTCCCAGTAAGTAACCACCCCGGACAGAGACAACAGCTCAAGTTGGGGGAAAAGGTGCAGAGTCTTGTGACCTCAGATGAGCCACACATGGAAGGGCTCTGCCATGACCAGAGGAGTTAGTCTTTGGAACATTTGACAACACAAAGAAGAATCACAAGGCGTGGGCTGGCATGGGACTCTCTCTGCAATCAACCTGAGAAACTCAGCTTAGAGACTTCTCCCCAGTTGGAAACAGCATTTCTAAAGAGTGTTAAGACAGCACCAACCTCTAGGGGGCGTTACATTAATGAGCCATGTGCGAGTATTAAGGGTCCATGCTGAGTGGGGAGGCCTGGCTCTTGGCTTCTAGTTCTGCTAGGTGAGGATTCTGCTCACAGCCTCCTACACTCCTTTCTGGCTTTAAGTCTGTGAAGCTAGGAGCTTGTGAGTGCAAAGTCCCCCTCTGACCAGGTGCCAAGAGCCAGGCATGTGTGAAATATGCATCTTGTGTGGCCTTTCTTCTGTCCTTGAATTATCCTTGTGAGTCTCCTCTGAAATATCATTGAATTAGAAAATTATAAACTTATGCTCTAAAAAGTCACATGAAAATGTGAAGACAATTTATCAGACCTGGTCTCTGTTGTCTGATATAAACTTAGTCTTTCCACTGGATCATGTCAGTAGATTTTGGGAAAGCTACTAACAGGAAAGACAAAAAAACAAGAAAAGAACCATGCTAGGCTATTTGTTTTAGATGATATGATGCCTTCATCAGTTTAGGCTGCTGTGAAGAAAAATCAGACTGCTAACTCAAATAGCAAAAGTTCATTCTCACTGTCTTGTATCTGGGAAGTGCAAGGTCAAGGCGTCAGAAGGTTTGGAAGTCCCTACTTCCCAGACTGTCCCTACATGACAGAAAGAGGTCTGAAGAGCATTCTCAGGTCTCTTTTACAAAGCACAAACTCTATGGAACCCTCATGACATAGTCACCTGCCAAAGACCCCACCTTCTAATACTACCACATTGGGGTTCAGAATTTAAGATTTATTTTATTTATTTCAAAGACAGAGCCACAGACAGGAAAGATCATCCATCTTCTGGTTCACTTCCCAGATGGCCATGACAGTCGTGGCTGGGCCAAGCCGAAGCCAGAAGCCTAGAACTCCATCTGGGTCTCCCCTATGTGTGGTAGGGGCCCATCTTCTGCTGCCTTCCCAGGCTCACTGGTGTGGAACTGGATCAAAAGCAGAGTAGCCAGGGCTCACTCATACTGGCACTCTAATATTGGATGCTGGCCAATTCTGGACACAGCATCTACAATTTCAACTAAAAGATTTGAGAGATGGGGCTGGCACTGTGGCATAGCGGGTTAAAGCCCTGGCCTGAAGCGCCGGCATCCCATATGGGCACCGGTTCTAGTCCCAGCTGCTCCACTTCTGATCCAGCTCTCTGCTATGGCCTGGGAAAGCAGTAGAAGATGGCCCAAGTTCGTGGGCTCCTGCACCCATGTGGGAGACCTGAAAGAAGCTCCTGGCTCTTGGCTTCAGATTGGACCAGCTCTGGCTGTTGCAGCCATCTGGGGAGTGAACCAGTGGATGGAAGACCTCTCTATCTCTACCTCTGTTATTCAAATAAAATAAATCTTAAAAAAAAGAAGATTTGAGACACAGAATTTGTTCATTACAGACGGTTACCATTCAGAAATGTTTTCAACCAAAAACCTCCTCAGAAGTTGTCAAGGTTCCAGTGGGGACAGGGCTGATTAGCACCTCCAGAACAGATGGCCTAACAGAGGCCCCAACTACACTCAATGGATGACATCTGAGGGGCAGAAGGGCTGCGTCACCAATTCTAAATCTGCATCCAGACTTAGCAGAAAGTGGAGAGAGAACAAAGATGGGGCATCTGCTTCACAGTTAGCTTGGCACTGCAGAAAGACCAAAAGGTCAAAGTCTAATTGTCAGCACTGTGGTCTCCCAAGGCCCTGACCACTTCTCCTCTCAGCTTTCCTCGTTGAAAACACCACTGGGGAGTGGGGGTGGGGGATGGGTAGCAAGATGGTGGTAGAACAGGACGTTGCGAGTTGCATGGGAAAAATAGTTAATAAGCAGAGGGGACACAAGCTGGCGACAGAAGCATGAGAAGTTCAGCCAGAGAAGCCCAAGAGTCCACCAGAGACTGCTCAGGTCCACACTAAGGGAGCCAAGAGGAAGGAGAAGTGGCAGAGGCATAGCAAAGGCCCAGCAGAGACACTGAGTGAGGAGATTGGCGTCATGCACCCCACCCCACCCCCAGTAAACCAGGTGAGAGATTGCAAGTCCACCGGGTGGATAGTGGCAGGTGGGGAAGCTTGGCCAACTGCGTTTGAAGCTCCAAGTGGGAAGGAGGAGAAATTACAGGAGAACAAGCAGAGGAGTCGGGCATGCCCTGGTCCATCTCTGTCTCCTTCCTCCCCCCAACCAGACCCACAGCAGGGAGAAGCCATATTGTTTATATTTTCAAGTGTAAGCAGGGGGCTGCCACGTTTGCCTCCCGTGCACACACCCATCAATTGTGGGGGCCACCTCACAACACCACCCACCCAGGAAAGAGGATCACATTTCAGAGCGACTTCCTCCCCACCACGGAAGCTGTACCACAAGGAGTCCTAAACAGCGAAAACCCGAGCTGGTTTCACGCACCAGTGAGAAGCCAGCCGAGCTCCTTCCTCAGTGGGCGGGGCTTAGTGCTCCAAAGCCCTGGTACCCGTCCCCATTATGATGTAGAATTAAACAGGGCTCTAGGAGGTGGGGCTGTGTGCTTCCACTTGCAGTGCACAGACACATAGCCACTCACAGCAGAGTGAAATTGCAACACAGACAGAGTCACAAGTTAAAGACAAAATCAACCAGAAATAAAAAAAAAAAATCCTGAATAAGAACAAGGAAGACTATGAACTGCACGAAGTAACAATGAACAATACAATTCTTCAATAATGGAAGCTGAATAAGAGATCAAGGATATGCCAGAGAAGGAATTCAGAAAATTGATTACTTAGAAGCAATCAGAAAGAAATTCACAGTCTAAATGAAAAGCACTCCCAATAAATTGAGATTTTAAAGGAAAGCCAGAATGAGATAATGGAAATGAAGAATTCAATAGATCAAATAAAAAATGTAGTGGAAAGTCTTAGCAATAGAATGAGACAGAACAAAAAAATGAGAACTAGAAGACAATTTTCCTGAAATACAGTCAGACCAAATACAAGAAATTAGAAAATTAAAAATCATGGTTGGAGATTCACAAGATTCTATCAAACAACAACTTATGGACCCTAGGAATTTCAGAAGGTGTGCAAAGAGGAAAGATTAGAAGGACTTGTTAATGAAATCATAACAGGGAATTTCCAATTTGGAGAAAGAGACACCAAGTAAAGAATTACACAGAACTCTCAATAGACAGGACCAGAAAAGAACTTCACCATGACACATTGTAGCAAAATCACCTCAATGAAACACAAAGAACAGATCTTAAAATGTGCACAAGAGAAATCACAGATCACATTCGGAGGAAACCCAATTAGACTCACTCTGGACTTCCCCTTGCAAACCCTACAGGCAAGGAGACAGTGTCGAGACATATTCCCAAGTCCTTTTATTTTTTATTTTTATTTTGACAGGTAGAATTATAGATAGTGGGAGAGAGACAGAGAGAAAGGTCTTCCTTCTGTTGGTTCACTCCCCAAATGGCCACTATGGCCAGTGCTGTGCCAGCCTGAAGCCAGGAGTTTCTTCCAAGTCTCCCATGAGGGTACAGGGGCCCAAACACTTGGGCCATCCTCCACTGCCATCCCAGGCCATAGCAGAGAGCTGGACTGGAAGAGGAGCAACTGGAACTAGAACCCAGCACCCACATGGGATGCCGGCACCACAGGCAGAGGATTAGCCGAGTGAACCACAGCACCAGCCCCTATTCCAAGTCCTAAGAGAAAAAACTGTCAATCCAGAACATTGTACCCTGCAAAACTCTCATGTATGAAGGAAACAAGGATCTTCCACAACAGGCAAAAATTAAAAGAATTTTTAACTACTTGCCCAGCCCTGCAAAAGATGCTCAAGGATGTGCTACACACAGAAACACAGAAAAAGGAACATCACTACAAAAGATGATTGCAGAAAATGACCCAGCAAAAGTACAAATGAAATCCAAAATCCATAAACAGGACTATTTAAGGAAACACGGCAGGGCAAAGAAAGTACTTAGCAATAGTCACACTGAATGTAAATGGTCTTGACTCCCCAGTTAAAAGACACAGACTGGCTGAATGGATTAAAAAAGAAAACCCATCTATCTGCTGCCTAAAAGAAACACACCTTACCAACAAAGATACACACAGAAATCAAAGGATGGAAAAAGAGATCCCATTCTAACATAAACCAAAAAAGAGCTGATGTAGCCATCCTAATAGACAAAATAGAACACAAAAACTATTAAAAGAGACAAAGAAGGACACTATATAATGATTAAAGCATCAATTCAACATGAAGATGTGACTATTATAAACGTATATGCACCTAATTACAGGACACCTGGCTATTTAGAAGAATTGTTAAGGAACTTAAAGGGAGATATAGACTCATGATAGTGGGGGGACTTCAATACTCCACTTTCACAAATGGACAGATCAACCAGACAAAAATCAACAAGAAACAGAATAAATTGACTCCAAAGACCAAATAGACCTGGCAGATATCTACAGAGTCTTCCACCCTACAGACACAGAGTACACATTTTTCTCTCCAGTGCATGGAACTTTCTCTAGGATTGACCATGTGCTAGGCCATGAAGTGAATCTCAGCAAATCCAAAAAAATCGAAATCATACATACATCTTCTCAGACAACAATGCAATGAAGCTGGAGATGAACAACTCAGGAATCCCTAGAACATATGCAAACACATA